TGCGAAGGGGAAGGAAGACGCTCTTTGCACCAAGAACTTGGTCGCCGGGGAGTCGGTTTACGGAGAGAAGCGAGTCTCTGTTCAGGTGGCTCTTTGTTTCTTTTTGGTCTTCTAATGGTGTTTGACGTTCCGTTGGCGTCTTTAGACTTGAAGTATGTGTTCTGAATGTTGACTTGCAGAATGAGGACGGAACAAAGGTTGAGTACAGGGTCTGGAATCCATTCAGATCGAAGCTTGCGGCTGCCATTTTGGGTGGCGTCGATAGAATTTACATTGTAAGCATTCTTCGCTCGAGCCTTGTGGATTATGTGTTATGATGACTGGGGGCTGGTTTCGTGAACACTGTTTAATTTTGGTAGTGTATCTTCTTGGCGTTGTGAAAGCTTTATAGTACGTAATCATACCCTGGAGTTAGCGTAATCTCATTTTGAGGAATCTTTCGTGTGCCTAAAGCCTTGTTTTGATGTAAGTGGTGGTATGTGGGTGCTGCGCTAACTTCAATGACCTGCTGATACTTGGTAGCATTAAACTTTGATGATATGTTGATACTTGATAGCATCTGATTAACTCCATTCGTTCTCCAATTGTTGTTTGTTAAAATCCACTCGGGCTCAACTTTGTGAAGCCCATTTTCTGAAACGGGTATGATTGCTGAACTGGGGTTTGGCTAACTCCAGTTCATTATGGCAAACATATGACACAATTTCTTTAGAATTCTGATAAAACCGTGGTGTGTAAAACTTGAACTGGGGCTACATGAAAGCAGAAATTTCCGAACTTGGTTGCAAAACTAGGTCTGTGCCTTATTCAGTGGTAAATTTACTTATCAAAATTTAGAAAACTTAGTGTCGTGATAATAACCTTGAGACTGTCCCCTGTATGCTCTCTTTTCTGTGTCCATGTTAGTAATTATTGGATTTTACATTCCTCAAGGCCATTGAAATTTTAATACTTAATTCGGCCTTCGTCAGGAAAGTCCATTACTTCATCCATTGTCATGCATACTCTTTAGGGATTTCTTTTTTATTAATCTTATTTTTTTAAGATGTTGAATGATTTATTTAGTAGGTAGTACGGTATTGACTCTGTTCATTTTCTCTGTCTTCCTTTCTTTGGAAGCTGGTTATGGGTCTGTTATATTGGAGCTTCATGTATGCTCCATTCTTTGACTTCCGTGTTCTTTTCTATAGGCACCTGGAGCTCGGGTGCTCTATCTTGGCGCTGCATCAGGAACTACAGTATCTCATGTATCTGACCTTGTTGGACCTGTAAGTTGTTTTTGCATTCTATGATCATTGCTCATTTAGATTGCCAAATTTTATATTTAGAACTCCTTGCTGAGTTTGGCTGTGTTCAATTGTGTGGCAGACTGGCATGGTCTATGCTGTTGAGTTTTCACATAGAAGTGGAAGAGACCTTGTTAACATGGCAAAAAAGCGAACCAATGTCATTCCAATTATAGAAGATGCTAGGCATCCTGCAAAGTATAGAATGTTGGTTGGAATGGTTGATGTTATTTTCTCTGATGTTGCACAGCCAGATCAGGTACATGTTGCAAATTCGTGCGCTCTGCTTTTATTCTTTTGAAGTTGAAACATTTCATACTGGTTATACTGGTTAGATAATTTTTTTTCATATTCTCTTTCCATTCATACCTCCTTTTATTTATACAAATTGTATTATTTACAATCTATTATGTACTTCTGTATGGTTTATATGGTTAAATTAAGCTCTGATTTTCGTCATGATTGGCACTGCAAGCTCCTTTGTTGTATATTATATCAAATTCTTATGGCAATTCTTTAGTTTCCTTGGAAGCAAAGTTTCATTGTTATCCACTTTTCTTTCTTGTATTGATATCTTTTTATTTGCAAGAACAAATCACCATTTTCTTAATCGGTGATCAGTGTTTTCGTTTGCTATATTTCAGATTTTTAATTTTCTTGTTTTAATCTCTCTATAAAGTGCAAGCATATGATGATTGTACTCGGATTCCCCTTCAGGACATCATTTGGATGATGCAAATTCGAGTTTCTGATGCAAATGCACTAATCACTTTTCAAATCTTTTTTCTGTATGCATTGTTATTTTATTCTAGCTTTTGAAGTTCTTCGTTGTGCGATAACAAACAACAAATTTTTTGTTTTTTTATTAATGTTAATGGATTGTTGTTTGTTACTTGTCTTTGAGAAATTATGTTTTTTGAATTATTTTTGGAGATCAAGCGTATGATGAGTAACTCGGATTCCCCTTCAGGACATCTTTGGATGATGCAAACCCGAGATATCTGATGCACTGGTAGCAACTTTTTCTTTGGTCATGGTTCTTTATTTTTCAGAACACTTTGTGCTTTGATCAAGTCTTCCTAATCAGCCAATATTCTGCAGTTGTGGATATTGCCTACTCACTGAAAGGCATATGTTCATTTTGTTTTGTCATTCATACAGTATACTAGTTTTTACCTCCAAAGAGGCAATATTTGCACCAATGAAGATTGCAGTGGTTTGTTTGTATTAGGTTCATTATTTAAATTTAAATGATAGTTTTAGTCCAATGCATACACACACTTCTATAGATGTCCTTTTAAAAATGTTGCTTTTCAAAATGTTGGTTTTTTTTCAGTTTTTTGCCGAAGTTGCAAAAGGATGACTATATTTTGATGTTTTGAGTGACCTTTTGTGATAATGATTTGAAAATATGCTGAAATCCAATGTATATGACTTAACTGTGCTCTTCTCTTCTTGTCCATTGTTATGCACATGCTATAGGCTTCAATGTAGCGCATAGTTTTCCATGAGTTACTGTGCTCTCTCTTTAATTAGCACAAAGATGATCTTGTCTAAAATTCTCAGGCAATGTGATGCTTGATCTTAGTTCTTTGGCAGTTTACTTATGCTAGTCTCTTTGTTAGAAACCTTTCATCTGTTATAGTTTAATTTTAAACATGTTTTACTTGTTTTAATCCCTTGATGCTGCTATTCCTGTGCTCTTGCAAACTCCATTCTGTTCCAACTATAAGATAGCCCAAATATAAATTTTTTTGTTACTTTTGTTTTAAAAGCTTAATATGAGGTCAAAACAAAATTTTGGTGTTTAAAGGGTGTAGTCTGAAGCTGCTCCAAATGTGTGCAACTCCAAAATACATCTTGAAATTCGTGGGAAAATTATATACCCATTATTTGGGTAGGTTCAGTGATGTCATTTGGATATCTCTCCCTTAGGATATATGAGGAAAGTTAATAACTAACTAATTTTTAAAGTAATTACTTGAGGAAGTTGGAAAGCAACATTTCCCAACAGTTTATTGTTTCTTCAACTGCTTAATCACAATTCCCGAAGCCAAAATGTTGGAAATTAATACTTATCTCAACAACTTACAATTAAAGACACTTTATTTTTCTCTACTAACTAAGATTTTAACCGCCGTTTTTGGTTGTCTTCTTTCTTGTTAAGCTCAAACATCATGATTGCGGCGTGGCAGTTGGAGTTTTGACATTTTTTTTAAAAAAAATTAATTTTAGTTACAAGTGCTCTACATCTTGCAAGTTATGATATTCTATCTTCAATATCTAGGCCTTAGGAGTTGGGTTTTGGTGCTTTTACTTCAGTATTTTAGTTGTGATGTTTTAAAAGCTTTCTAAATGAAGTAGGATAATTAGGAGACTTTGATATCTTCTACAATTGTTAAATGTCCATTGTTCTTTTCCGTGGTCATCGATCTCTTTAATGTGGATTTTGGGTTTAAAGTATCTCTTTAGCAATCTAATTTTAAGAAATGAGGGTATCTCTATGGTAGTTTATCGAGGACAAAATGAGGGAGAAATTTTGAGATTGGATATGTACTAAACAGAAATGAAAGCAGAGATACGCATATCAATCATGAACAAGATATTTGGTGCGTATGCTTAACTTGATGTTTTCCTAAGCTAGTTGCTCCTTTTCTTCAGGCTAGGATTGTAGCTCTGAATGCTTCATACTTCCTCAAGAATGGAGGTCACTTTGTTATTTCCATCAAGGTATCCAAATCTTTCTATTCTTCATTTCTCTTTTCCACTTCCTAATGTATTTCCACATCTAATCTTATGCATTCTGTCCAGGCGAATTGCATTGACTCGACGGCGTCGGCTGAAGCAGTGTTTGCTCAAGAAGTCAAGAAGTTGCAAGCAGAGCAATTCAAGCCTGAGGAGCAAGTCACCCTGGAACCTTTCGAGCGGGACCATGCTTGTGTTGTTGGTGGTTATCGGATGCCAAAGAAGCAGAAGGCACCTGCTGCGTAAAATTAGAGGGTCTCTCAGCTGTATTTTGACTATATGCAGAAACTTTTAAGGAACAAGACTCTTGCTATGAACAGTAGATTTTGTAACTTTTGGGTGAAAAACATGAATGCTATTTATTTGAGAAGTGTTATTTAGATGTTTTTGCTTAGTATTTATATATGTTGCTGTTCCTTTTGCGGTTACTTAGATGTCTTTGCTTAATATTTATATATGTTGCTGTTGCTGTTAAATTTATGTTCAGAGCAGTCTGTAGTGCTTTTTGGCTAGTTTCCCCACGGTATTTCTTACCTTCTAAGGTTTCTTTTATATATTCCTTGTTGGTTTGAATTATTGAAATTGTCTCTTAATACTCTGAACTATATTTTGTCTCCAGGCGCCCCCTAACTATAAAATTAGGCTCATGTTTATCCCATGAAGTGTTTTTAAGTCACACGTTAACCCTTATGCTAATAATTTTGTTCTAACCCTGTAAACAATTAAATGTTTTACCACTTTTGATTTATTATTTTATGGGTATTTTCTATAATTATGAGAA